TTTAACATGTACAGCCCTCTTGCAGTCTACAGGGTTTACGTATGTAGCTGGCTTATTCTTACTGCCTGCGGCCCCACGTCTGATGCGCATTGGAGGATTCCTCCGTTCTCGGCACGCCGGAGCAGCTTGTATCCCGCCTTCTGTGTGGGTCTGGTCGCCCGTATCGCACACCCACCGGAGCTTGGTGTTCTGCGTAGACTCTTGTTCTGCCAGCAGCATTTGCCGTTCTCAGGGGTTAGAGGCTCTGTGTTAGATCGTTGTGCCTAGGCCTCCATTGGGTACTTTTGGCTTTCAATGTGAGCTGGCTTGTTGCTTTCTTCATACGTGTGAGCTTTTGTCCTGATTTTCGTTCTTGTATGTTTGGCTCCGGCACCGACCGCTGTGCGGTGTGTTCTTGATCATTGTCCATGTGCTTGACAATGCTTCAGGACTCGTTTCCATTTCGTCAAAGTCTCTGGTACTGATGCAGTATAAGTGTAAGGTTTTTTGCGGCAAACTATGTCTCCCTACGATAACATGGTCGCGCTCGAGTCCTTCCTGTGCGTTGACCACGTGATCCATGCGTGCTTGTCTACTAGTAGAACAGCGCCTTATATCGGCATACTTGTATTGGTCGGTTCCAGCCTTGCCTCGGATCGCCCTTTTTACACATGCTATGCCACCTACATGTGGTTGTGTTCTCTCTGCGGATGCACACTCTAGGTTATTTCTCTTTCATCTCTCTGCCCCCACAGACACTCCATGAGGTTTGAGTTATAACCGCCTGTTCCACCAAAACACAGTTTCTATTTCCTCTTTGGTTTCATTCTGATCGCATCACCCTGAACATTGCTGTCTGTACATATCCCTGCTCGCTGTCAATCTATCCCCATGTGCTTCATCTTACCACATGACAGTCTCCCAATCCATCATCCATGTGCTCTCTGGCAAACTTCAGACGGGCCTGGACATGCACTGGCTTCAGCAGCGGAACACGTCTGGCACTGCGGGATTTGATTCCCTGCCGTTGTAGTGTGTTACTGATGGTGACCTTTGTTACTTTGGTCCCAGCTCTCTGCAGGTCATTCACCAGGTCCCCCCGTGTGGTTCTGGGATCTTTGCTCACCGTTCTCATGATCATTTTGACCCCACGGGATGAGATCTTGCGTGGAGCCCCAGATCGAGGGAGATTATCAGTGGTCTTGTATGTCTTCCATTTTCTGATGATTGCTCCCACAGTTGATTTTTTCACACCAAGCTGCTTGCCTATTGTAGATTCACTCTTCCCAGTCTGGTGCAGGTCTACAATACTTTTCCTGGTGTCCTTCGAAAGCTCTTTGGTCTTGGCCATGGCGGAGTTTGGAGTCTGACTGTTTGAGGCTGTGGACAGGTGTCTTTTATACAGATGATGAGTTCAAACAGGTGCCATTCATACAGGTAACGAGTGGGGGACAGAAAAGCTTCTTACAGAAGACGTTACAGGTCTGTGAGAGCCAGAGATTTTCCTTGTTTGAGGTGACCAAATACTTATTTTGGCCACCCTCGATCCTTAGCCGGGCGATATATATTCGTTTACATAACCTTCTCACTCTCATCTGTGATTCATGGTCATTTCCTTTTTTTCACATCCTGCCTCTTGCTCACAGTTGGTGAACGGTGTAAAGGCCTCTTGGTGGCATTTGGTCGCCAAACGGTTACTGCGATCCTCTTGGTGCATCCATTCCTGTAGGCGTGGGGAACTTCGTACGGACTCGGTGGCGTGACTCAAAGCCGTGGGTAGTTTGTTTGCGCTCACCGTATGTCTGTGAAGGTTCTTCAGTCTATCCCAGAGTCTGTATCGAGTGATTATGTATAGCTCTTGGTATAAGAATAAGCGTCTGGATCTTTATCATTTTTAATGTTGCTTTTGGACGACGTTTCACGCTCTCTCATCTGAGCCTGCGGTGGCATCAGATAGGAGATGGTGAACGTTGGTCATACCAACGGGTTTGATAGTAAGTCCAGGATCGCGTGTCTATTCTATTTATCCATTTATTGCTTAGCTCCTTGATGATATACATCATGAGGGAGTTACGTAGGTAAACGAAAAGGTTCTACAAATCTGGTGATCTGTTATTCTGCCTAGTTAAATCTATCTATCATGCTACGCCGTCACAATACTCCGCCCGAGGCAACTCTATTTCGGCAAGTTGGTGCTTATGTGTAACGAAATACCAGCCACCGTCTTATGGCATCATTTTGTACTGTTGTTAACTGATTGCCTCAAAGTTATGGGAGGGCTCTCACTATGGAATTTGAGTAGTTCCTCTAACTAATTTCTTTTTGTATGTCCATCCTGTGTTAAGAGGGTGCTGCCGTGACAAGCAGATCTCATGCATCTGTTCCTCGTAACATTAACATTAGGGACATGTAGTTATTTTTGGCATATATTTCTTATCCCGTACTTATAGGCAGTCGGCCAATTGAGTGCCACGCTGTGGGTAGCAGGAGAGGATGTCATTTAAAGACGTTAGTTTAGCTGGGTTGGTTGTGTGGTGGTCTTCATCTTCTCTTTCTGTTTGTGTAGTAATAAGGGTTAAGGAATCTTGTTTGACAACATCGCACCTGGAAGGTCTAATTATGAAATATTGCATCCCTACATTTTGTACATGAATTTCATTGAAATTTATATATCATAGTTATCCAGGAGATCGCCTTTGCCCATATACCTAACCGAATTGTGCGTCTCATTAGGCTTCTTATAGGATAGCACTTTTGGTGTTTCACTTTTTGATCTTATGGATGTTGCATAGTGAGGCCATGGATCCTGTTCTTTGACAATTAGGACGTCATAGATGACATCAGCTCTATGCCGCATTTTTCTTTTTCGCGGATGTGCTCTGGTTTTGTTACTGTCAAAGATCCGGCTCTAAGAGCCATTTCCTTCGCGACCGACCCATCACTAGTTCCTAGCAGCGTTTTCCTTCATTTCTGCATTTACGTGTGGACGGGATTATTTTTTAAAACGAAAACGGAAAAACTCCATTTTCAAAAATACCCGGGTACGTGTGGACGTAGCCTTAGCCACCTTCTGAGGGTGGTGGGCCTACAGGAGGGTGAGCCCAAGTCCTTTCTTCGGGCTGTAGGAGGGGCTGGGCCACATGAACTCAGATCCGGCCACGAGGCTCTCACGTCAGGCACCCTGCCTGGCTCCAGGGCGGGGCCCCAACAACCCTATCTCTGGTATGTTGAACTGTTTCCTAGGCTTTTACTCATAAGGGTTTCTGAGCTCTTTGTCTGGTCCTTCACCCAGGACCAATTTGCCATTTGACAACATAGCCCCTGGGATTCCTGGGATACACAAAACCCTCCACCACGATAAGGTAGCGATTCACAGAGGGGATTATAGATTAATTTCTAAAGACAGAGTAAAATAAAATCACAGATGTGGTATTTCTTTCATTCTGAAAAGAAGAAGAAACCAAAAAAGTCTAAAAAAAAACCAAAACATTTTTACTTAACACGACATAAGGCCTGTTGGCCGACTAGCCAACGTATTAATAAACATCCATACTTTCCTCTTCCCAGACCCAGCATAGAGAGAAGCGGTTGGAACAAAAGCACGAAACACTTGTTTAACCAGTGCTCTTTCATCCCACACAGCGAGTGAACTTTTAGTTTTAGTGACAAGATGTCTGCAACCTTTACGACCGAGCAACAGATTCAATATGCCGACGAGCACAAACTTATGGCTTGGTTCCTCAAATTACCTAGAGCATCACTGTTCAGACCTTAAAAGTAACAATGGGTCAGCCTCAAATGCGATTCTCTCATAGGTGACCTCGGTGTCCTTAGTTGGGTAAACAAGACAGCTGCAGCTAAGTAAAGCTCCGGAAGCTGGGAGTCTTGTGTAATCCAGGGAACGAAGTCTTACCAATATGGGTTCCATGGGTTATACTCCGTTTGGGTCGATGTTCCAGCGTTGGGTCCCTATAGGGCAACCTAGGACTGCATGGGTTCTTAACAAGCCTGTTTTGCGAAATAAAGTTGTGCCATCCATTTTCAGTCCCACCTTTGTTTGCACTAGGAAATCAGTAGAACGAGAAAGCTCTTTGTGCCCTTTCATTCACGTGTCAATTTTGTTTCATATTATAAACCACGTATTGTGAGGGCATTTTGATACCTAATTTCATCTGTAGGCTGAAGCTCGGCTTTTTTTGTAAATCCAGAAGCGTTATCATAGGGCTCCTTTTAAGGTTAATTATGATTCTCTTTCATTAGGATCCTCCAAGCTTTACGATTCCAAACACGTACAATCACGAAGCAGGTCGACATAATTGTTCTTACCTATTATGCATTCGTTGTCGACATGTGCAACTAGTAAATGTTGTGGTTTTCCATGTTGCGGCTTCGTTACTCTAGCTAATCGAGCCATGAGTTGCACGACTGTACAATTAAGTTGCCACTTATACTAATTCACGTACTTACTTAACAGTTTACTCCTGCGGTCTCCGGTCTTTTTTGGCATCTTTGCCGTTTGGTGGCCGGCGGGCCGTGTCGTCTCATCATTGCCTGCCGCTGTTGCGGGTTTTTCTTTTGTTCATTAGGCCGCAATGGAGATATTTTTGGGGGGATCCCCACCACGCCACTCCACCTGCCCCGCTTTCGTGTTTTGACCGACTATTCCCTTCTGTTTCCGCGTGGATTCCGTGTTCGGTTGAGCCCAGTCTCTTTGACTATTCTCATGTGTGGAGTACTCGGTATGGTGCGCTCCCCTCCGCGCCCCAGCTCTGCCCTATCTTAACCTAGCGAAGTCTGCCTAGCCACCGGCCACGCACGACTCTCCTTTTTCTCATTCTTTTAATCCCTTCTTCAATAGCACTTTATATTCGTCGATTGCTACAACACGTTAATACACGCCAATGATAACAATTGTCTCCTTGTTTTCATTCTCTACCGGATTTCATGCTCCTCACGATTAATTCAAGTTTTCTGTTGGCAAAGTTTCTTTCCCAGCGTAGGAGATTGTTTTAACTCTCCACAAAGTATCCATTTTTGGAAAGGTTTCTTCCAGAAGTCTAGAAATCTGAAAATGACTGATTTTAATACTGACTATACAAACTTACCTCTGCATGGTCACTCACCATCTTCTGGAAGACACACTGTTTGTCTCCCCATGCCAGCTTGTAGGAGTTCAAGTTCCTCAGCTGGCAAAGGTGGGATGTGTTTTTTGACAGCAAATAAAAACTGAGGCCTGTGGTCTTACTGCCTGCCTTAACAAGCTGCTTAGCAGATGTTAAACATCTCTTTTTTTTTTTTTTTTTTATGCTTTAAATCACTTTATTCTGCTACAGTTTCACAGCAAAATAACAAATGTTTGTTCATTTCCATTTATGCTAATAAGTTCTGCCATCGCTGGATGTTTTACTCGGATTCTGCAGCCTTTCCAAACTCTCTGCTTTTAGCTCTCATCTTGTTAACCTGGGATTCAGCGATGTCTGCACGCTCCTGCGCCTCCTCCAGCTCATGTTGCACCTTCCTCAGCTTAGCAAGAGGAACTTTGGCCTGCTCCTCCGCTTCTTCATTTTGTCGTTTGTAGGCCTTGACTTTGAGCTGCAGCTTGTCTACGAGGTCCTGTAGTCTCAAAACAGTCTTCTTGTCCTCCTCAGTCTGGTAAGTGAGCTCCTTGACTCTCCTCTCGTATTTCCGGACTCCTTTTATGGCATCAGCGGCTCTTTTCTGTTCAAGTTCCACTTCCCCCTCCAGCTCACGCACCCGTGCTTCCAGTTTCTGAAGCTGCTTCTTGCCCCCCTTCAGAGCCAGGTTCTCTGCTTCGTCCAGGCGGTGTTGCAGATCCTTCACAGATACCTCCAGGTTCTTCTTCATCCTCTCCAGGCGACTGCTTGTGTCCTGTTCTTTCTTCAGTTCCTCCGCCATCATTGCTGCATCAGTGATGGCCTTTTTGGCTTTTTCCTCTGCATTACGAGCCTCTTGGATGGCATCCTCCACCTCCCCCTGCAGCTGGCTGACATCTGCATCCAGCTTTCTCTTAGAGTTGAGCAGT